TATCCCTCTCTGTCAGACCCTCCCCACCCCCACCACCCACCACCCCACCCCTGCTGGTGCGTTCAGATGCCTGTGCACTCTCTCTCAAATAAATAAATCTTTAAAAAATAATAATAAAATAAAGATGACAGATTTCTGGACCCATTTAATCTCCACCAACTTCATCGCCTGAAGGGGAACCTGTGAAAATGCATTTTCACAAGAACTCCTGGTGACTCTTCCTTGAGAACCATGCTATACACCAGTGGTCTCATAAGTGGAATACACATGACAGTTTAGTGGGGTATGGAAAGAAAATAGAGGAAATTCGATTTCTATTCGTTTATTTCATCCTTTTACAATTTCCATTTTTGTGGATGTTATACAATATATCAAGAGTAGTGTATGCATTTTATTAAATAAATAAGCATAGTTATTTTTAGCATATCCACAGGAAATCAGGTAAGATTTCCTGAAGTGGGTGGCACCTGAGGTTGACCTTAAAAGATGGATAGAATCCACCTATCCCAAAGGGGAGAGGAGAAGGCAGGTGGTCAGGCCTGTGAAGATATTCCAAGTGGGGAATACACTGTGAAAAAAAGCTTAGAGGAGAGAAAAATGATGATGTATGCTTTGAATTACAGTGTGGTGTTCTTGTAGAGCAAAGAGGCAGAAAGAATGTGGCAAGAAAGGACAATGGAAATATAAATGAAATGGTGATCTGAAGCATATACACAGGATGAGCAATTACTACGTGAGTGGAGATGTGAGAGGAGGTGTGAGAGATACCAAGATAATTTGGCCTCTACTTCTTAAGATATCATGAGGAGAGCTCTACCTTTCTCGTCAGATGACTTGAGTTCAATTCCTGATTCTACCATGGACCAACTAAGGCCCTGCAAAAACTACTTCATGTCACTGAGCCCCACTTTTCTCATTTTGAAAAAGTAGATTTAATATCAATGCCTGAATGCTTTATCTCACAAATCTTATAAATATTGCCTAACATGGTTCTTACGTTAGCATCAATTAGTTAAATTATTAACATCAACTCCTAAAAGTGTATCTCTATTTAAGATAAGTCCACAACTGTACACCTTGTAAGCCATAATGCTAAGAGGGGAAACATGGATTTTTCAGGACTATTTGTTTAAAGACACAATTATAAAAATTGCCTTTTTGCCTAAAACAGGGTGTAAATTCTGATTTAATTAAGCTCCTCCCTGATTACGTTATTATTCAGTTTCCTGTAACCTGGAGTGGACTGAGAGGTTAGGGATAACTCCTATGCCTCACCACATCCTCCTAATATGAGTTTACAGTGTTAATGCTCACTGAAAAGAGCTAACTTGAAAACATTATGATCTCAATGAGAAAAGCCAAATGCATCTCATCAGTTGGTCAAATGAAAACTAGTCGGAATAATGTTTAAAGAGCATTACAATGCATGGTCCAGAGGCTATCTAATTATCCAGGAATAACCTTATGATCAGGATAACTTAATAGCAGGATAAAACTCTGGCGTGTGATTTTAGCTGCTAGAAAATCATTTCCTCCCCCACCCCTGCCCAAACCCTCCTCCCAACCCCAAACCCCTGGGCTACCCGAAATTCATCTCTTTAACACTGTGTGTGGGTTTAGAACTTCATTTATGCTAACAAGCTCTTATTTCAAAATGTCAATTCTTTGGAAGTCTATCAGAGAATCTGCCTTATTGGGTTAACTGGCTAACTAGCTGTATTTCATTCTAGCATATGGTTGATATGTGTATGTCACCAAGGGATTAAGGGTGTTGATGCTGAGCAGAGAGTAGAACTAATTAAGGAGCAAGAGGCAGTTGAAGAGCACAGCTATCTTGGGCACTTTGAACAACCAAAGGCAGTTCTGAAGGTTCTAGGACAATTTTTTAAGGTTTTATTCATTTATTTGAGAGAGAGAATGTGTGTGAGAGCAGGGGGAGGGGTAATGGGAGAGGGAGGGAGAGAATCTCAAGCAGACTCTGCACCCAGCTCGGGACTCAGTCTCATAATCCTGAGATCATGATCTGAGCCAAAATTGAGAGTCTCACGCTTAACTGAGTGAGCCACCCAGGAGCCCCTCTAGGATCATTTAGAAGCAGAATGAAGACTAGAGGAAAGTTCAACCTGGACTCAAAGTAAATATCCTTACAGACACACTAATATAATAAGATGCCCTTTTCTGGATATATCAAACTTGGTTGCCCTTGGTTTGCCCTCTTTCTCAAATTAGCTGACTATGCTTTAGTGTGTGAGTGCGTGTTACTTTGTGCTCTGATTTTCAGGCAATAGCAGCAACAAAAACAAGAACAACACTGACAGTAATAGCTAACATTCGCTGAGAAGTTTGCCTGGCATCATGTCAAGACCACAGATGTTGGCCAGTCAGCCTGGATTCAAATTCTGGCTTTTTCACTGACAGCCACGTTATCCTGCACCTCTCTGTGCCTCAATTCCCTAATCTTTAAAAGAGGAATGATTATAATGGTACCTCCCTCCTAGGATTGTTGTGAGGATTAGATGAGTATGTAAGGTACAAAGAATGGTGTCTGGCCTATCGGAAGTACTCAGTAAATGTGAGTCTTTCCTGTTGAGTGTTAATCCAATCCAAGATCCCATAATATGTCCTTTATCAACATTAATATAATCCACAGAGTAAACCTTTTACATCTGATAGATGAGAAGACTGAGGTTCAAGGAGCCCAGGTTATTGGCCAGCATGGGACTGGCCACCAAGGGATTAAGAGTGTTGATAATGAACAGAAAGAGATAGGGCCAGGGCTCCACTTGGTCTACGTGATGCCAAGTCCAAGCTCTGAGCACCTGTGCTTTCCTGCAACATGTGTGAGCTCTGAGCACCTGTGCTTTCCTGCAACATGTGTGAGGTACCTGGTAATGGTACAAAGAGAAACTGCTAGGTTCTTTGTATGTTAAGTAAGAATTTAAATAACTCTCTGCTGTGGGGCCTATTATATTTTCCTAAAGTTTTGAGGTGGGATTCACAAGATAACTCTAGGTACCTTCAGTCAATTTATTCTGGAAAAAAATTGACCACTTGCTCTGTACTTATTGACCCACTCTAAAATTCTTTGAAAAATCAAAAATTCCTTCTCTGTATCTAAAAATTTTATGACATAATCACTACATCTATTTGGCTGTACTCTAGATAAAGGTACAGATTAGCACACCAAAGTTTTTGCTGATATGTGGAAACAAAATGTTTTCCTCCTAATATTTAAAAACATCAGAAGATAGGATCCAGCCAGGTACAATCCAGTCAGTTTCTTTTCTGCACTTTTCAAGTTTTAAGACAGACACTTGTCCTAGGAAAAATCTAAGAAATTACAGAAAACCCAACATTACTGATCCTATAGGAACTGGTTTTGGAAAGACATGGCCAATAGTCAGATGATGCATAACTTAATTGGTACTTCGTACAACAGAAAAGTAGATATTCTGCTTTCTCTCAACAGAAACCAGATCTGGAACAAAATATCTGATGTTTATAATAATATCTAAATGTACTATCTGCTTTAGAGCTACCACCTGGTTCTTCACCTGGCAGTAAATGCTACAGGCAGAGTACTGGGAAATGAGAAATGGATATTTCATTGTGGGCAACTTTAAGCTATCTACTCAGTTTGCTGTGCACCCTGGGTACTTACCCCCCCGACTCCAGGATATGACCCAGCAGCAAGTTGACACCCTATGACTCTATCTCCTTAGAAATGGCAGTTTGGCCCACAGGTGGACGCTTAATCAAACTGGATCAGATTCAAACTTGTAGAAATTGATCTACACGTGTGACAGAAACTTTGACATGCAATCACAGAAATCGGGGATGTGAAGCAAAGAAAGCTAGCCCTCACAGAGATAGGAGATAGAAGCAGTGACTGAGAGTCAGAAGATGAGAGCAAGCTACTTCTCCAGGATCTTGTCCCAGGCTGCATCTCCACCCATGGAGCCAAAAGGAGAAACACAAGACACTGTCCATTGGAAGGACCTGTAAGATTCAATGAAAGTAAAAAAGTCAGTCATAAAATCTGTTAACTAATAAGTGGTCTTTTTTGCTCTTACAAACATGACCCACTACTTAAAGCAAGATTCTTGAGGTATGGGTTATGCAGTAGATATTGGCTTTGGAAACTGATTCTTATTTTATATGCACAGGAAAGATTTTATTAAATGAATCCAGGCATGTAAAATTTAGTCCAATTAGCACCATTCAGTATTGTCAAGCCATCTAAGCAATTTTCATTAGTATCTTTTTATGCATATTCAAGAATATACAATGAGAGTAGGAAATACCCATTTCTACAGTACACTAATTAGAGAGAAAAATTCAGTTTGAATTCACCAACTGGGAAGCTTTTTTTTTTTTTTTGGATTAATTATTGATGAATGGCCCATCAGGTGTTCATAGACTACAGTGACAAGATTTGTCTTGAATAAATTCAAAAGTGCTTTATTTATGGTAGCTCTAAATTATCGATTGTATTACAAAGATTTTAGAGTAGTATTTTTTTCCTCTGGGGGATAGTTTTTTAACTGTAGCCTGAAATATTGGTCAGTAGTAAGTTTAGTGACACTATTTGTCCCTCATTAACTTGTTTTAAAAATTATATAGCAGTTGCTAGATATATAAGTGATGGAAAATGGAGAATAGAACCAAATCTCTTGGGGAAAAAAATTAAGGGGAGAGAACACAGAATGAGGTAAATAAGTCAAAGAATGTATTTGAATTCTTAATTTTATTTCAAGTATGTGTGTAGATACAGCTCAAGACTAACTAAGTGCCATTTTAATGTAATCAGAATTATATAACCAGGTGACACTGTCTCACTATTAAAAATATACTGCAACAAACAGGAATTCCTCCTTCCTATTTCTTGCCTCCTTTTTTTCTTCTTTTTGGTTTTCACAACATTACCTCATTCTTAAGTTTAGAGAACAGCTACTGCATATGACGTATTTACAGAAAAAGTGTGCCCAATTCTATTTCAGATTATACTAACACTAGAGAAAATGATCGGGTCCTTGAAAGGATACACAAACACCAGGGATGAAATGAACTCACTAGCTATCTGAAATGAGTTACAAGATACAGCCACAGGCTCCTGAGCTGAGAACCCGGGTGAGTTCAAAGTAATCAAAACTAATCATCTCATCTCTAGAATTTAATGAAGGTTTAGATATTTTATACCTCGGTGTGGTTTTTAAAAAGAATAGTTGGTAGGACTCCTGAGTGGCTCAGTTGGTTGGGCAACTGCCTTCGGCTCAGGTCATGATCCTGGAGTCCCAGGATCGAGTTCCGCATCGGGGGGGTCCCTGCTCAGCGGGGGGTCTGCTTCTCCCTCTGACCCTCCTCCCTCTCATGTGCTCACTCTCTCTCTCATTCTCTCTCTCAAATAAATAAATAAAATCTTTAAAAAAAAAGAATAGTTGGTAGTGAATAAGTTTAGGGACCTTAAATAATGTCAACAGAATGAATCTTCAAATGCTAGAACTGGTGAAATAAAAACAAACCATTTGAAAAATGTCCAGTGAATCAAATGTAATCTTTAATAGTCTGCTCCAGAATGAATTGTATTTACATAAAATTGTTTCAGATATTTACCTGGAAACTTCTGAGGATCTGTTAAGAAATTGCAAATTTCCTTGCTATTGCATCATTTCCTTTTTCTTCCCTTTCTCAGTACTTACTGGGGTTACTGATAAGAAGTATAATCTTTGAGAAAACTTGAAATATATATGACCTATTGTTTTAACCATATTACCTTGGATGGAGTATGGTGAAGCCAGGTGCAGCTCAAGAGAGAGAAACCAGAAAATGTCACAGTGCCCTAGGGAGAACACAACACACCATGCAAGACCACTGGGGTTTGGTCAAGAGGCAGAGAGAGAGAGGAGAACTATATGCAAGTACCTTTATTGTGCTTTCTGTGGGAAGAAACAAGTGAGGCAGAATAAGCAGGCTTTGGGTTGGCTAGTTTGGGTAATTTCAGTAGGCTCTGAGGCACAGGGGCTCTCCCTGGTTTTCTGGTACTTGGCCCTGAGGCAATTAGATGCATAGCTATAGGTGTAAGTTGGCAGATGTATAATGACTCAGAGTGTAAGAGACCAGTATGGGAGTTGGCTGGGGATGTGGACTTAATCTCTGCCCAAGAAGTAGAACTGACCAGCATTTATGGAAACTAATTTACACCTATACAACAACATATATAATGTGAGAGTATAGAGAAAAAATCTCAGGCCACTGCAATCAGGGAAGGCTATCTCCTAAGGATGACCATGAGGTCATTACTCTCCCAGTGAAGGAGTGACTGCAGATATGTTTTCATCTATAAGTTCTCTTGCAACCAAATGGAGGGAGGGATGGTATTCTCCCCAAATCCTGCTGTAAATTGGTAGAGACACACAAGACATAACAGAAAACATCAGCCAGAATTCTCAGAAATACAAAATCTTTTACAAAATATAGGCAAAAGCAAACATCTTTAATGAGTCATTTGGTAAGCAATTTCTTATGAAAATCTAACCATTGAGCAATTGCAGAGAAGCCAAGAACTCCTCTACAAGTGATATTTAGAAATTTAGCACAATGGGAAAAAGCACTGCAACGTGGACTGACATGGGGAAGGGCAGTGTGGCAGAGGGAGGAAAATGGATCAATGAATAAAGATGCCAGGAAAATACAGGTCCATACCCAACAGAAAACACACTTTTTTAGAGAAGAGGTCAAGAATTTTGACAGAATCTCATTAAATGTATTTGTAATCACTTGCTATGAATTTTTTTGTTTCTTGTATAGCAAATGCATATAACTCTCATTTCAGAGTGTGGTTTGATTATTGTCAATTTCTTATTTTGCCATCATAAAACTTATCTGATATATGTACAATGGAATATGAGGCAGCCATAAGAAAGATGAGATCATGACATTTGTGACAACATGGATGGACGTAGAAGGTATTATGCTAAGTGAAATAAGTCAGGCTGAGAAAGACAAATACTGTATGATTTCACTCATAAGTGGAATCTTAAGAAAAAGAATAGACATAAAGCAGAATCAGACCTTTAAATAGAGAGAATAAATGAATGGTTGCCAGAGTGGAGGGATGTGGGGGTTGGGCAAAATGGGTGAAGGGGTGTGGGAGACACAGGCTTCCAGTTATGGAATGAGTAAGTCATGGGAATAAAAGGCACAGCGTAAGGAATATAGTTAATGATATTGTAGTAGCATTGTATGGGGACAGATGGCAGCTACAACTTTGGTGAGCAGAGCATAAGTAGAAGCTTGTCCAATCACTATGTTGTACGCCTGAAACTAATGTAACAGTCTGTGTGTCAACTACACTCAAATAAAACAAAATAAAAAATTAAACAATGGAGGGGCGCCTGGGTGGCTCAGTCAGTCAAGCGTCTGACTCTTGATTTTGGCTCAAGTCATGATCTCAGAGTCATGAGATGGAGCCCCATGTTGGTTCCACACTGGGCATGGAGTCTGCTTGGAATTCTCTCTTTCCCCCACTTTCTTCCTCCCCCTCATAAATCAATCAATAGAACTAGGTGATAGGGAAAATTAATAGTATTTACTAATAGAACAATTTAAAACTAATATGTGTTAGAAAAAATATAGAAATATTTATATGGGTAAAGGGAAATGGGAGACACAGGCTTCCAGTTATAGAATGAAGTCATGGAATAAAAGGCACAGCATAGGGAATATAGTCAATGATATGGTACCAGCATTATATGGTGACAGAGGGTAGCTACACTTGTGCTGAGCCTCCTATAATGTACGTTGTACACCTGAAACTCATGTAACATTGTGTCAATTATACTTATATTAAAAAATTTTGTTTTAAGTATGATGTTGCTAAAGATGCCCAGACTAGGCTGAGCAAATGACGTACAACCCTTTAAACAAAGGAAACTGCCTTGACCAGTCAGGGCAGTCTACCTGTTTGGCGTGGATCATTTATAGACCTGATACTCAGTTGTTAGGAATGTAGATGGCACCAGTAACTATGGGGAAGTACTTGCAGAAAAGTTTGCAAATGAGAGAACTGAAGTCCAGCTGGATTAATTAATTTGCGTAAGGTCACACAACGCTACATTTCACAACAGCTGACTTTTGGTCCAGTATTTCTTCAACTAATCCACAACTCTCTGAATCCCTAAGGGCCCAACAAAAGAGGGAATTGGAGGTTTGGAAAATATCAGTGATTTCTCCAGCTATATGACTGGTGGCAAAGGAAAGATGAGAACCCAGCTTTTTTGTTTTTAAGTCCACAGACGTTTGCCGCTAATGAATAGAGGTCAGCATTGACTGGAGGGGAAAAAATTAATAAATTGAGATAGGTGTGGTAGCACCACCAATAGAGGAATGACCAACAGAGGAGTTAGAAGAGCAGCAGTAAAGATTTCACTATAATTGGCTAGTGGTTGTTCAAGAAATAAATACAGGAGATGGATTAAGTAAAATTGATTTCATTAAACCCTACAGATACTGAACTGAAATAACTTTTAATGTATTATAAATTCACTTTAGTCCAATTTCCTGTTATCAACATTTTTGCAACTTATTTGGTTGGCAGAAATATTAATGCTAGAGATAAAACTAAAATCAATATAATTTTAAAATTGTGTTTTCATGTCTGACAAAATCTTTAGCTATATGGTATGTTACTGTATGGCATTACATTTGTGGCATAAGTAGTTTCAAAAATAATTTATCCACAGCTCCATCCTTTTACCTACAAGACATTCAAATATTGATGCAATACATGTACCTATTGCATGGAGCACTGGGTGTTATGTACAAACAATGAATCATGGAACACTACATCAAACACTAATGATGTACTGTATGGTGACTAACATAACATAATAAAATTAAATTTAAAAAAATTTAAATATTGAAATGTGTAACTTCTACCTCCAGTCTTATTTTCCTGCTGATTTTCATTATTTCCCAAAAGAAATTATTATGAGTTTGAAGAACAGTTAATTCTAATAGTTCTAGGCATAGCTTAGAACCTCCTCAAGCATCCTCCTTCTGTCTCTAAAAAAAACCATTTTCTGATATTTTTGGATGGGCTGGAGGAAAGGGCAGTTATGCTTCAGAATGCACAACAGAAATGTAGAGAAAGAGAACGAATAATTATCGCAACCTAACTGGGCATCAGGAAGTGTGCATGATGCTTACATACATTTTCTTACTTAACCCTCAGAAAATCCCTACAAGATAAATGCTGTGATCCCTACTTCACAGATGAAGGAAGAGGAACTGAGAAGTTAAGTCACACGGTCACAAGATCACATACTTGGTAAGTGACATGGGATTGGGAATTAAAATTTCTATCTTTCTTTAGTTCTCATCACATCAGATTTTTATATTTGGAAGATCCAAAAATATTCTTAAATAAAAGGCGTATCTAAGACTAATCACCAATAAATAAATGTCTCAAATTAAGATTGAGATCAATAAGCACACAAAAGGTTGAAATTTATTTCAAGCTGTGGTCTGATTCAAGCAGTGTATGGCCTTCAATTCAGAGCAAGCTGACTTTGCAGGTGTTTAATAATCAGACAGTAGTGCAGATGTTGTCTTAGAAATGATTATTTACTTACTTATAAATAACACTGTGATTTGCATACATACAGACAGAATAGGCAACTAAAAATCATGCCCATATAAAAAGTTTAGTACATAAACTAAGGAACTTCCAACTGTGCTGGCTCAAAACCAACAGATGTGGTTCACTTTGTGTATTTTTCAAGTAATCATGACAGCATCTTATAAATACAAGGACATGAGCGAACAGCGAGTCAAAAATCACTCTTACTCTCTTTTCAGACTGACTAACATAAATAATCTGGACAATTGCTAATTGTCTCTGTAAGGATAATACGTGCTTTAATGCACAGATAGAAGGCATCAGTAGATATTATAGAAACCCACTAAAATCAGAATGTGCAGGAGGACTATTTTGGAAGAGTAAAGGAATACGTTGTAGCATTTTTTAAAAGAAATGCAATATTCTTCCTGTTTCTTCCTTGTTTATCCACATTTACCATACATTTAGAAAGGATGTCCTGAAAATATTTAAAGGTAATACAAGAGGCTCATCATTATTTGAAAATGTTTTCCATCCTCCTGCCACCCAACATACACTAACATTTTTCTTTAATACATAAACACACATTTTCCATCCAGATTTCCAGAGTGGAGGGACACCCCGGTGGCTCAGTTAGTTAAGTTCCCAATTCTTGGTTTCAGCTCAGGTCACAATCTCAGGGTGGTGAAATTGAGCTCCTCTTGGGGCTCCAGGCTTAGCATGGAGTCTGCTTGAGACTCTTTTCTCCTCCCTCTCCCTGCCCCTCTGCTACCCACCCCTGCGCGCGTGCTCTCTCTCTCTCTCTCTCTCTCTCTCTCAAGTAAACAAACAAATGAACAAACAAAAGATTTCCAGAGTGGAAATAAAAAGACCTGACACTTTCTGGTGTGCTGAAGGAATGAATAAACGACATGACAAAAGTCCTCTCATCTCTTAACAAAAGGCCTTTCAAATAAATGTATTATTTTACTTCTAAAGCCTTAGTAATTCAGATCCAATTCAGGGGATGTGGGCGACAGGGGATATGCCTAACTCAGATTTCAGATAATACTAAAAAAAAATCATAGCCTGTCACTGATCATGATACAGCTTATAGAGGAGTTGGAACATTTTTCTATAATGGGCCACATGGAAATAATTTTAGGTTTGCAGGCCATATTGTTTCTCTGGTAGGCAATACATAAACTAATAAATATAGTCATGTTCTAATAAAACTTTACTTACAAAAATGGACAATGGCCAGATGTTAACTAGACTTACTGTGGTGATCATTTTGCAATATATACAAATATCAAATCATTATGTTGTACACTTGGAACAAATATAATGACATAGGTCAATTATACCTAAAAAAAAAAAAAAAAGCCTGCAGTAGGTGTATTTTGCCAGCAAACCATAGTTTGCTGATTTCTGTAATGGAATAAGTCTTATAAGGACTTCCCTCTTAGAATTAACAAGGTCTCAGGAGTGTTAGAATTCAACTTCGGAGGTCTTTTGTCAGCAGGAAAATATAAAATTCGATCTTGCATTAGCTATCAGGATTATTTTCCTGATCAAGTCCACTGAAGTGAGGTCTGAAACAAGCAAAGAGCCTTGTCCTTCAATGAGAAATAAACACTGCAGGCACATATCCCAAAATTGAATATCTTGGGAAAATGTGCTAATATTTCATAATTCAATAGAACATTTTCATATCCTTTCTTCAAGCAGATGTTAACATTACTGGCACCGTTGCTAGAAGCTAAAATGGTGATGAATGGTCAAGAAAAATTAGAATCAGAATTAGCTTGAGCAGAATCAAGCTATGCACTGAAAACTCTTTTTTTCTGAATAAGGAGCATAATTACCATGCCATTGATTCTCTCTCCGGGCCTGGAAAGGAAACAAGATGCACTGTCCTCAATGATGAGGTAAGACAGCTCTTACCTTTCTCCTGCTTTGTATGAGTATTTTCTATTCACCTTGACTATGCGCTTCTTGGGGTTAGGACACAGGTACCCAAGCTAGGTTGACGATCAAAATATATTTGTTTTATGAATAAATAAAAGCCTTAATAATAATTTTTGATGCTTTGAAAGGAAAGCACAGCTGAGTCATAGAACTGTTATCTGGAAGCCCTACAGTCAAGTTGTTCTACTATAGGGTTTTTGCAACGCCAGGGGTTAACAGAATATTCCTAGTAGAATAGTGTCAAGGCGTTGCAGTTAAATTTAATCACGTGCTTTCACATTACCTCCAGTGTGTTCGTCACAATGCAAAAGCTGTGAATACGAGGAAAGGTAAATTTTCTGGTCCCTCCCAGAGCATGTAGTCTACATGCCTTGAATGCCCACATTATTCTCATAAGCCCTCTGGTAAAAATAGCCAAAGAGCTAATTATTTTTTAAAGTTGTAATACTTTTGGAAAAATTATTTAGCTCCATTTGGAAGTATTAGAATGTGTAAATAGACAAACAGAATAGCCTGGACTTCAAAAAGAAAGAAATACAAAATGAAAACTCACTGGCATCTTTCAAAGTGCTGCATTTATGTTTATTAGTGTTGTTTTGTGACATTAATTTTTGAATTCTATGATTCATAATGAATATAGATGATAAACTTGCTAAATATTAAACCAACCTTGGAATATTAAAATGTTAACTGACTTATTTGCATGGACATTTGCTGCATTTGTCTGCTTTGAGGTGATGATGCTGCATAATAAACAATCTCCCCAATATTTCACTGGCTGCCAACATAAACTCACATCTCATTCACAGATCTGTGGGTGGGCTGTGGTGGCTCCACTTTAAAGAACATGTCTAGGTTGGCTTCCTTCATCTCCCATTCCGGAACCCAGGTCAAAGGGCAGCAACCTCTGGGGCACTACCTTCCCACCTTCTCAGGACAAAGACAGTAATCAAAGAGACCAAGTGAGCCAAACCACGGAGCCCCTGCAAAGCCTCTGACTGGGTAAGGGATGGATCACATTCACTGATATTCCAAGGCAAGGCACTTAGTCAAGTCCAATATCAACAGAATAAGAATGTTTACTTTTTGTGCTGAGCGAGGGGGACACTGAGTATTTCCTAAACAACAGTTGCAAAGTCTAGAGTGGAGTTAGGAATATAGCAGAGAAATTTTATTTGGAAATTTCAAAACTACTTTAAATATATAATCATAAGAAACTGGAATCATCAAAGAACAGGGCACCAGAGAAAGGGAAGGTGAGTGTTGAAACACAGAGGGAATCAAACAGGTTAATCTCTTCTAGCACAGATCTAGTTTTATTTTTTTTATTTTTTTTTTTAAAGATTTTATTTATTTATTCATGAGAGACACACAGAGAGAGAGAGAGAGAGGCAGAGGAGAAGCAGGCTCCCAAGGAGCAGGGAGCCTGATGCGGGACTCGATCCCAGGACTCTGAGATCATGACCCGAGCCGAAGGCAGACGCTTAACCATCTGAGCCACCCAGGTGCCCCACAGATCTAGTTTTAATCCCTATAGAATGCAATTTGAGTTTATCACCAGAAGAGAACAAACAGTAATTTAAAAAATATTTCTGGGGCACCTGGGTGGTTCAGTTGTTAAGCGTCTGCCTTTGGCTCAGGTCACGATCCCGGGGTCCTGGGATCAAGCCTGCTTGGTGGGAAGCTTGCTTCTCCCTCTCTCTAGCTGTGTTCCCTCTCTAGCTGTTTCTCTCTGTCAAATAAATAAATAAAATCTTTAAAAATAAACAAATAAAAAATATTTCTCCAATGGACAACTGAATAAACCATTTTCTTGGATTTTCTTTTTAAAGATTTATTTATCTACTTGAGAGAGAGCGAGAGACTGCTAGTGCACATGTGCAAACAGGAGGAGGGACAGAGGGAGCAGAGACAAGCAGACTCTCCACTGAGTGGGAGCCCATTGCTGGGCTGCATCCCAGGACCCCTAGATCATGATCTGAGCTGAAATCAAGAGTCAGAGGCTCAACCGACTAAACCACCCAGGAGCACCCATTTTCTTGGATTTTTTTTTATTTTAGATTTTTTTTTTAAGAGATGCTATGTTGTTGCTGGCAGTAACTAATCTCTGTGCATAGTGACTGGTAATATCTAAAAAGAATAAAGTCTAAAATTGCTACCATACATAAGAACATAGTTTTTCTCTATGAAATTTTTTCTGAGTTGATTTAGATCACAATAGCCAAAATTCAAAAAAAGAAGAGAGGCATGATTTCCCAGAATTAAAAGGAAATGCAAAATTCACAACCCTGAAGCAGTGGCTGTGCTCTACATTATAGGAAATGGACTTTCTGACATTAATCTCAGCATATTTGTTCATTTCTGAAGAGCAAGCCAGGACACTGAGAGAGGCTAAATTTTATATTATGAATAATCAGTACAAAGGAATGAACAAAATCAGAGTTGGGGAAAAAACTGTTCTACAAATCTCTACTAACAGAATTATATTGCAGAAACCTCAAGAAACTGAAAAGCATCCTCAAAACCAAACCATGTGAGAAATATCTGTCTCCTTCCTTCCGAGATTAAGAAATCCTATTTTCTAGTTCAGCTCAGCAGGTTCTGAGCACTGTTCACTGATTGGGTGAACATTTACTGCATGCTTGCTAGATGCATACTTTCTGCTAAGTGTAGAGAATACAGATACAAAATGCAATCCCAGCTCTCAAAAGCGCTCTAGCAAGGTCAAAAGCAAATGAATAATTGTAATACACTGTGGTGAGTTCTATAAGAAGCTCTCCTAGTCTTGTTTCCCCAAGAAACAAACCTAACACAAGGATTCAAGTAAAAATAATTTATTTGGGGGTTGAAGAAGACACCCGTAGGGAAGTGGGGAAGTGAGAAAGAAGGACACAAGATAAAGCAAGGTGCCACTGTGAGCCACTGGGATTACACCTGCCAGGGAACACAGGGAAACGGTGTGGATCACACGCCTCAGACAAGTGGGGCTAAAACATTAATTTCCCAGCCTTGTTCACCTGCTGTGTGTGTGAGCAAGCCGAGCGGGAGAAGGCTTCTGGCAAAGGGAGGCTGGACTGGTATGCACTGTAATGGTAAGGCTTGAGTGCTTATGGACATCAGTTACACAAGTGTCAGGGTCACAACTAACCTTGAGAGCGAAAAGGGAAGAAGTGAGGAGAGTCTTCCTGGAGATTACACTTGAGATGAGATTATAAAATGTATAAAACTTATCGAGGTTAAGAAAGAGAAAAATAGTATTTTGGGCAAGCCAAGTGTGAGGGCATCCCAAGCAGAAAGTGCACGGCACTTTAGAGGAAGTATAAGTTCTGTGTGCATATGGCTAACGTATAGGAGCAGGCGAGAGACAAGAGACAATTGTTGAGAAATGAAGCTAGATGGCTCAGTAGGAGCAAGGTCAGAGTTAGCCTCAAATCCCATGCTAACATATTTGGAAATGAAATATAAAATAGGGATCTATTATAAAGGATTAAAGCATGATTTCAATAGCATAAACTTGGCAGTCATTCGAAACCTTCCTTGACTTCCATTATCCTTTGTTTTCTCAATGAATAGCCTCAGTTGAGTGGCTTGGGCTCCACTCTGATAGTGGGGATATATATATCAGTGAACAAGAGACAAAGAGAATCTGTGTATTCATTGTGTTCTCCGGGCAGGGAGGAGAGAAAATAAATAATTAAACAAATAATAAGAATTTCAGACAGAAATATATTAATGAAAGAGCAATGAAATAAAGAGTGACTGGGTTCTTTGGCTAGGATTGTTAGGGAAGGCTGGTCTCTAAGTTGAGGGCTGAATGGTAAGGAGGCAAAAAAGGCTGATGAAACACATTCTGTGCAGAGGACGTAGCAAACGAGACTATCCTGAGGGAGAGATCTGAAATGTGATTGTAGACGTGGCCAGAAGGCAGATCATGTCACAGTGAGGAATTGTGATTTTAGTCTAAGGGTGATGGGAAGTCACTGGAGGATTTTAAACAGTTGAGTAATATGATTAATATACATTAAAGAAAGGAATTATTCATGTTCCTCCTTGGAGAATAGGTCGTAGAAAGACAAGTGTGGAAATAGGGAGGCCAGAGGGAAGACTTGCAATAGCCTAGGGAAGAAATGCAGGTGGCTTGGGAGGTGATAATGGCTGTAAGAGATGGGAAAAAAGTGGCTGGAATCCACTATTTTAGAGATTGTCAGGACTTATTAATATACAATGAGAAGGGTGAGGGAAAGAGAGGATTCAAAGCTACTGAGTGAATAGTGGTCCCGTGAATGCTCTAAGTCTTATGTTACCTGAATTTCTTATTATTATGAAAATAGGAGTGTAAATCACAGGCTTGGACTATAGAAAGTCATCAGTAATTGTTAGGTATTAGCATCATTATTAAGATGATAATGATATTGGGGCACCTGGGTGGCTCAGTTGGTTGAGCATCTGCCTTCAGCTCAGGTCATGATCCCAGGGTCCTGGGATGGAGCCCTACATCGGGCTCCCTGCTCAGCGGGGAGCCTGCTTCTCCCTCTCCCTCTTCCTGTCGCTCCCCCTGCTTGTGCTCTCTCTGTCAAATAAACAAATAAAATCTTTTTTTTTTAAAAGATGATGATATTATGGCACAGGAATGTTAAAAATAATTCTAGGTCAAATCCATCCCATTTTCCAAAATTAAGCAGGATTCCCTGTGCCCTATTTTTCTATGCCCTATGCAAGCAGACCTATTGTAACATCTATTTTACCTGCAATCTCTTATCAACTCTTCCTCCCCGTACCTAAGCTATTCTCATCAACTAGCTTGTCACTTAACCTTGACTTCTCTTGGCATTTCCTTTTCAGATGTCCTAGGCTCCACCCTATCCTCAGGTCTCTTGATCCATTATCTGAATCTGAGCCTCCTTTTCTTATTTCTCCACTGACAGGGCACCATGGCCATAGCAACAGCATCAGCAAACGT